TTTTTGAAAAATACTATTATTCAATAAAACTATTATAATTGAAATTTAATTATTTAAAATGAAAGACTTTAATTAAGATTCCATGATAAAATAATTTACTTTAAAAATTGAAATGAATTCATTAAATTGTTATTCAAAATATTCAATTATCCTTGATCGATTCTGTCGTCAAAGTAAATTTTTTAAAAGATGTATAAAATGCATGTTACTTTGACTAAAAAATCGACCTGTCGCGAAATGCCTTCTTGCACGTTAAATACATTATACAATGTATTAATTAAGTAAACGATCAATATTTAATAATTTATATTAATGTTGTAAATATTATTGTACAATGTCATATTAATTATCATTCATATTCTACTCGATCATATGATAAATATAATGTTTTCACATTATATTTATTCATTTTCTATTCAATCATATAACTCATATAAAGTTAATAAAAATATTTCATATATTTTATAAAGATTGTGGTATATATATTTGTAAAAATTTTATAATAATTATAATGTGTCGTATTCATTTGTAACATTAAGAAACGCGAGTGCAAGAAGACCCTAAAACCTGCTCTAAAAAATATAACAGTTGATGTTACTACTCACGGGTATTTTTCATACCCGCGGTCACTTAACTCATCAAAAATACCAAGTATACAACTGGTCACCCGTGTTGATTCGGATCTTTCATCCTACAACATGGTTGGGGACCAGAGGAACACAAACAACATGCGACTCACCAATGATGACTGGAAGTCCTCAAAGTTATCCATCAGTCAGCATGGTCCTGCATGTTAGATTCAGGTCCAGAAACTGTAAGAAAGATGCAAGAAGACAATTAGAATCTATTGTTAAAATTATAGAGATTTTTAATTAACAAATTCCAAAGTATAAATTTATACTTACGTTGTTCGCTCGTGGTCCACCGCCCGATACCCCAGGTACTGCTGCTGGTTTCCAGGATCAAGTTTAGAAACTGTAAGAAAACTGTAAGAAAACAATTAGAATCTATTATTAAAATTGCAGAAATTTTTAATTAAAAATTTGAAAGTATAAATTTATATTTACATTATTCGCTCGTGGAGCACCGCCCAATAATCCTCTTCAGCGATGCACTGACTCTAATTCCGGTAACGAGGAGTTTAAATTTCAAATTGAAAAGATAATTAATTTGATTAAGAAGTATTAAATTAGATTACCGCGACCGAAGATTGAAATCGGCGAACAAATGACTCTATTATCGCGATTCAGAAAACAAGGACAGCCACGATGCTCTGGAAATAATTTTAAACTGCGTAGGAAACACTGCTCCTATCCTCGCGTCTGCCTAACACCGTAAACGACAAAGTACTTGGGGTCACTTTGCCCCGAGAAACAAACTTGTTGCTACGCACAATCACTGAATCTATCGGCCGCATTGCGCGCGGCCAACAAATTCCCTGGAAAGAAAACAAGGAGAGAACACAAGAAATACACGGTAAGCACATCTGTGCTTTCCTATTTTTCTGTCTTTCTTCACTTAGTAATTCCCAATAGAAATACTGCTCTTTTCATTAAAATGCAATGAAATACGCCAGTTAATTTCCATTTAATTTACCACTCAATCGAGGTCGATTATAAAGCAAATTAAAAATTTATTTATTATTTACTCTTAACACTGATATATCATAATTCCGATGAATAATAACTTGTTAAAATCATAAAAATATATAAATAATATCTGTATATTTAATTTTACCAATACTTATTAGACCATTTGATGCTGACGCCATTTGAATATTTCCAACTGTAATGGCGCCCATTGTGTGCCGGTAGCTTGCCTTGATTTCGAATTCCAATCAAAGACTGCAACAGAATTAAAATACAAATTAAAATCAAATGCATTACAGTAAACATATCTAATCGTAATTAAACAATGATTGATGTACAAGATATGTAATTTCGTTTAGGGAGATATAATGAATCGACGCTGGTTATACCATATATCGAAGAAAATACGTGAAACCTGATTCAGTTTTTGCCACAATTCCGACTCAATTTACAGTAAAAACGTATTAATATTACATGAAAGCACCATTAAAGAGTAAACGCGTGTAGTAATAATGATGAAATATCAACAGGTTAGAAATACGTACCTCGTTGGTCGCGAGACGCCGACAAGTCTCGACACGTCTTATCACGCCAATTTTTACAGCAGAAATGGCGCCCCCTCGCTGTACCCACCAACGCTCGCGAATTGGGGAGGAATTCCGCTGTCAGAATAGCTTCTATTTCGAACAGAAACGAAATAAAAATGCATTAAAGTAGATGAACGATAATTATAACTGAGGAATGATTAAATCCAAACTGTATTACAAGAAATCGTAATTAAATTCAGGGAGACATGTTAATAATTAACACCGGTCGAATGTTAGAGAAAACGCGCGAAACCCGATTCGGTTTTTGCCACAATTCCGACTCAATTTGTAGTAGAAACGTTTTAATATTACACGAAAGCACCGTTAGAGAGTAAACGCGTGTAGTAATAATGATGAAATATCAACAGGTTAGAAATATGTACCTCGTTGATAGCGAGATGCCGACAGGTCTCGACACGTCTTTTCACGCCAATTTTTACAATAGTAATGGCGCCCCCTCGTTGTACCCAGCAACGCTCGCGAATTCGGTGCGGGGTGGGGGAGTCTCCGATGTCTCCCGAAGCTTCTATTTCGAATATGAGTTCCTTGGCTTCGAACTCCAATCAAAGACTGTAACAGAAATAAAATGCAGATTAAAGTCAAATGCATAATTAAACAATAATTGAACTTGAAATATGTAATATGTACAAGAAACGTAATTTCGTTTAGAGAGATACAATGAACCGACGCCGGTCAAATATCAAAGAAAACATGCGAAATACGATTCAGTTTTTCATAGTACCGATTCGATTTGAGGTAGAAATGTATTAGTTCCTAACGAAAGCACCGTTACAGAATAAACACGAGTAGTAATAACGAGGAAACACGAATAGGTTAGAAAGACGCACCTCGCTGACCGCGAAACGCCGATACGTCTTATTACGTTGATTTACAAAGTACGAATGACGACCTTTCGCTGTGTCTAGTAACGCTCGCGGTAGGAGAAGCTCCGATGTCTCGCGAAGCTGTATTTCGGAAAGGAAGGTTGAACCACGTTTTCGAGACATCGTTAATTCGCGGAATTAAGGATGCCTCAGGTAGAAATCGCGAATACAGAAAAAAAAGTACGAAGATGCTAAGCGTACGTACTAGAGCAACGTAAATATCTTGGCTTCAGAATATAATATATAAATTAAATATAACTCACATTTTTGTCGATTTACAGTAGCAGATGACAAGATCCTCGAATTTCACAAAGTCACATTTCTTACGCACAGGGTGCGCACGTGAGACGACGAATTATTCGATTACCGATCGAAGAATTTTTGTTCTCCTAACAAAACGAATTCATAAAATGATTGTAAAGTTAGAATATCGCGGATCTGTTGATTTTTCCATTTCGTAGCAGTCACCATATCTATATTACACGTTTTGGAATAAATATATCTTCTATAAACTCTAGTTCAATCACCAATTAAGTATTGTTTACACCATTGATTGAATAAAAGGTTGTGTTCTAAAGAATCGAAGTACTGACCAAGTAAAAAATCAGCTGTTTCGCAGCGCGCTCTGTATTTAAGAACAATGACTAAGAATCATATTTAACCCGTTCATCGGCGTCGGTAACGTCAGCGAACTGACGAATTTTGTCTCTGATGCGATGTCAACAAAAGTTTTGATCAAAAATTATTTACAGAATTAAATTAAATTAGTCAGTTTTGAACCATATGATACATCGAGGTCTGATCCTCAAATTTAGGATCTGGGAAAATAACGTGAAAAGTATGTATTTGCAACTTTAACTAGAAAAAGAAACATTGTTTTATTAAACTTTCTGTTGTTTTTCAACTATCAGTTTCATTGGTAACACTTTGTAATGTCTATGAATTAAATAAGGAATGAAAAATGATCCGCGTTATCGACCTGAGCTTGTTTGTTTTGTTTAAAGTTATAAGTTTATTTAATTTTTTACTTTCAAGTTGTAGAATTCATACTATGTACAGAGCAGAAATTAGCTGAACCTTGAAACACTTTCCTCAAGTCTTACCATTTAGGCGTCAAATCCAACGTTATCAATTCAGAATGGAATAAGACTGCAGCGCTATGAGTTATGAGAATTAAATAGTGTTTCTTAAAAATTGAAAACAATTTTGAATTATTCGTTTACGAAAAATGTGTAATATTAACAAATTTACGAAAATTTAAATAGTCATTAGGTTGTTTTAAATACATTATGTACGAAATGCTTCATGCATCCGTAAATTTTTTTATTAATTTATACAAAATGTTCAAGATTATTAATAGTTTCATGTACCATGTCGTCCAAATAAAGGATTACAAACTATTTTCTCAAAAACGTTTTTTTTTAATTAAATGGTCCAGAGGTCTAATTTTTTCATACATAAAATATTCTTTTGAGTCGATTATTGAGAAAATGGGGAGTTCTCTAAATATTTTATTCACAGAAATGTTTTTCAAAATGTGATCATCTTTCGTGTTCCACGGAAAATAGCAACAGTCGAATAATTTCTGTCTTCGGACGATTAGGGTCAAAGTTATACCGACTTCTATTGCACGCGTTGCTGTCATCGAATGTTTTGCGGGGCTCAGACAACGCAAACGAAATCAGAACATTTAAAGTAGGTTCTTATCACGCGTGAAATCCGCGAACGTTATCGTTTCGTAGCACGAACATCAAAATATCACGAGTCAGACCTCAAACGGTGCTTCAAGGCTGACCCGGTATAGGTACTTATTGTATCAAGTCTCGTTAAGAGATGTTCATTCACTCGTACTCCCAGATGACCAGTATAGTTCGTGCAACTCACGACGGTCAGATTGGCCCGGTGTCGGAGCGCGGAGGTGCCAGTGAGAAACCGGCAACGATCGCCACAAAATGTGCTTAAAGCGTCGGTCCCACGTTGTGAGAACTCGAATTCTGCACGGGCATATTTGATAACTATGGCAGCGCTCGTTCGTCTTAAACGCGGGAGCGTCCAGTTGAGACATGCGGCGCTAGAAATGAAAGGTAAGTGATATTTACTTTGCAATTCGAGCACATTTATTTTGCAACATATTTCAAGCATTTAGACACACAGGATAGTGCTAGAAATTGAGTCAAGTTATCCAAAAACCCAAAGATATTTTTGTCTTTAAAAATATTTCTGTATTCGAACACTGTAAAGAATAAATTAATTTACTTTGGCTTAATTATAATACCGATATAATCTCCGACACTTTATAAAGTGCTTTCTTGCGATAGATATCCTTTTTCATATTTTTGTTGTGTATTAAATTATGTATACCAAAGGGCACTGACCCATTAATAAAGTGATATTATTATTAAAGTGTGTTGTGTAAATGTTAGTCTTCCCTACGTGCGTCGCGATGTAAAGAAGATTGGGAAGCACTGGTGTACAGAATGATTGTAGAAACGGGGACAAGCTATGGTTCTTTTCTAAGCGAGAATTTAAAAAATTAATAAGTCGAGTTTCACCGTTGAGTCTTTCTTTTCGATTCGACTCTGTTATTCCTGACCTTTGATACGTTAATTTATTTTGAGAGTAAAAATATATGTATCATAAAGCTAATAGTTTCTTACGGATTCAGAATGTGAATAAATTACTGACTAATGTTTATTTACATTCAAGATGATGAAACCGTACGCGTAACGCAGTAGTTTCAATATTACGATTTCGATACCTTGGTACTTGAATCGTTAGTAAGCCCGTAATTATAAATATAGAAGTATTGAAAATATTTATCGATACCTAATCGCAAGGCGCGAGTAATACTAATAATATATAAATCTCAGCGAATCTTTTGTACCGTGAACGTTAATTCAACGAGTATATCCAACAATTACATCTTATCGCGAGTCTTATCACCGATGATCGGATCTTGAAAACATTTCCACATGTGTTATAAGTGACAGGCTGAATATTATGACAGATATTCGTTGTGTTTGACTTGTTATCGTGTAATTTGTGTATTTGTTATTCGAGGTCTGCGTGAAATTTTCCACAACTGATTCGATCAATCAAGGGGATACACCACCTTGACTATTTTAAAAAGGTTCGAAAACTTTATTTTCCTATCGTAAAACCATAAAATCACCAACTATGAAACCATTTTGGCTGTAGAGGCTGCAGGTGTTTGAGACTCCTTCCTTCCATCAATCAAACAAATATTTAATATTTTAATCGCTCCAAGCAATCTTCATTCGTTAACAAATATCGAGCAAATATCAAAATTTTAATATTTCTATTCCTATTTACAAGTTTTTGTCACCTTTTAGCTTTTCTAGAACCACTATCTAGGGTAACCCCTTAAAACTGCGACATTCTCCAAGAATAGATGCATTTATAAATATTTATATCGCACAGCCCGCGTGTTAAAGTAAAAAATGTTGATACGGAGTAGCAGTTTAAACAATCGTCGCTAGTGTTACGTTCTGAGGGCACCAAAGTCGAGGTCACCTGTGTTGTACGAGGTAGGAAAGAGATAGTAGTCATAGAGTCAAAAGCTAAGACTGATAAGAGAGACATGCATTCGGTGATTTTGCTCCTTTCGTGTTCCGTGAAATGGCAGACTTCGTCAAGAGAGGTAGCGTGCATCTCGTAAAACATAGCAGTGTACAAATAAAACAGGCTGCGAAAGAGGTTCGAGGTTCGTTATACTAAATCTGACATGTGAAACACATTTAAAAGAAAAGATCTAATTTACACGCTTCAGAATATATAATATATATTGTGCGTTACTTTCACGAAAACGAATGAATTATCTTGAGTTTTCGCTTGTTTGCTGGCTCTTGTTCCTTTCATGAAAAGAATACACGATCGAAGAATACGAATGCATAAATTAGTTCTTATATTGAATTAAATACACGTTATGGAAAATTAAGAAATCGGATACTTTTCTAATTTTACTTGAACTACATCTGTCCAATGTTTACTTTATTCGATACGATCATTAATAATTACTTTAAGTATTCAAGTTCGTCGTATAATGTATGTAAAATGCATTTTCGTAATATGTTAATTATCGTGATTAGACTTAAGTTCGCATATTGTAATAGATGCTTTGCATACTCAATGATAACACTGAATTAAACGTGGAAACTACGACACCTATTGTTTGAACAACTTATCGGAATCGAGCAACGTTCTATTACAACAGACGTTTAATGTCGTCGTTAATGTATGTATTGTATACGAATACATGTGCAGAACGATTGTCTGTCCGTTGACGTGCAATCATATTTGAACAATAAACGGAATCCCTTTGCATTATTTACATTTCATACCTGCATAAATTTTCGTTAAGTTTGTTTTTATCTTAAGTAGGACATAGCATTATCATGGTAAAAGTCAACAAAAGCGTATGGAAATATGAAAAATAGGCAATGCAAAGGATTGATCGATAGTAACTCTATCTTGTATATAATAAATTCCAATTTTGTAGTTCGGTTTTGATAATTCGACAGCTGCTGTCCGAGCGCGACACATAGTAGCTGCGCTTGTTGCAGTGGGATTTGCACTTTGTGGTGCAGTTGAAGTCAGCTCCTCGGTTGCATTGCTTGCCAATCAGAAAGACAATCATGCCATCATCGACACGTCGTGGCACTGCGACATGCTGGTCAACATCAGTAGTCGCAATCGGACCGAAGATTTCGAAGTCATACTTTTGGAGGTAACTTTTTACAAATGTTAGCGAACAGCAACTATTAAAATTCAACTTCATTGTTTGGAAACGTTTGTTTCGTAGTTATTCGAATTAAAAAAATTATTTTTAGAAATTAAAAGTAATGGCAATGTTTGCAGCTGCCGCCGGAAGAGCGTACAGAATCGATAATGAGAGAGGCATTTTTGTGGGGACAAGTGGCTGGACCAATCTTAGGAGGATGTTTGGTATGGGGAAGGTCTGGTCCATCTATGGTGTTTTCACGAGCGGTTCTCAGTGCTTGCTTGGCTTCCTTGCTGGTACCAGCTGCATGGAGAGGTCCGTCTCACGTTGCACTTCGTCTGTTTCAGGGCCTATGTACAGTAAGAATGAAATCCGAATTTCATAAAATTAAATTATATGTAATTAAACATGAATTGCAAGCACGTAAAAAATTTTCAGATTTAGGTTACATTGATTATTTACACTTTACTTGATCGAACAATACAAATCAGTGAAATACAATTCATTCTAAATACGTGAAATACGATTCAAAGTGTAGCTTTTATTTAATGAATAACGGATGAAAAGTTGTTTACCTTTGTTCGTTGTTCGAAATCGTTATCTAGATGAGAAGTTTACTCATCTTTGCACAATATTGCTTCTGCTTGAAGATTGTCTTCCAAATATTACGATTCTTATGCAAACGTCGCAAGCGATCACGAAAGAATATTGTATATGCAAGATTAAATACAATTTCGAAAGCATTACACAGATTTCTAATTCGTTGAGCTAACTCTATTCTCAAAACATACTAGCGTTGAAGCTTCAAGTCAGTGAAAGATTGAATGTTCAAAACGCTAGCTATCGTTGCTACATTTTCTTTTATAGGGCGCGACCATGCCTGCTGCTCACATGTTTGCTATGACCTGGTTTAAGAGCAATCATAGAAGCTGGTACTTCAGTTGCTACGCTGGTACGTAGATATTTATAAATTTTGACGAACAAGTTATTAAAAGAGTCTAAATTCGAGCAAGAAGGTTGCAATTTTCAGACTTACATTAAACGAGCATAAGACAAATTAATTTCGAATCAATGCAGAACAGTTTTGTAGAATATCTAAATTACAATGACTATTATATTTTCATTGCTACACGTTGATGTTTATAATATCAATGAAGTATGATTTTCTCATCAGCTGTCAGCGTTGGATACTGTCTCACAGGGTGGTTGGGTACAGCTGTCGTTCGAAGCTTCGGTCGGGATTCTCTTTGCTATGGTCTCGTTATTATTGCGCTATGTTGGTACTTCGCTTTCGGCCGATTCGTCAAAGACACTCCGAAATCTTATCAGCACGATACGAACGTAAGAATCAAAAAATTTCCTCAAATATTTCATAAAGTTACGCGACTATTTTACGTTGAAAAAAGATCGTATCCGAACGTTTTTGGCATTAGGCTTCAGCATATGTAAACAATGCGTTATTTGGCTGTCGCAATCCTAAAGCCATTGTTTAGAAAAACTAGTAACGTAGTGGTTCCCACATTAAATGTTGAATAAATTGCATCACAGTTATTCACGATCACTTTCTCCAGACAATTTGTCAAACACGAAGCATTCAACAAGAAACATTCCAACTTGAGCATCAATGCAATGTTAGTCCCTCGCAAAGTAACAAATAAAATCATAAAATGGAATTATATAATTGTTAATAAAATAGGCAGCCGTGATTCCATGGGGAAAATTGCTGCGTTCGGTTCCTGTATGGGCATCGGCCGTTGCAACCATGGGCAATCAATGGGGCGATGCAACTCTTGCACTTGGTATGACGAAATACCTGAAACTCATCTACGGATTCTCTACAGCCAATGTGAGTATCAAATAGGTGCACCTTTCTATTATTTAATATTAAAAGGGATAGTATAGTTCACAGTATCTTTTGCTTCTATAGTATTAATATAATTTATTTTTGTTAACGAAGACATTATTAGCGACAATATCCAATCGTTAATATTTTTAGGATTCGGTGTTAACGACGTTGCCTCACATTGGTCATTTCATGGCTGCGTTAACTTGCGGCCTCCTCGTGGATCACGTTCGCGAATCTAAAATAGTTTCAACGACCACAGCGAGAAAGTTGGTCGTTTATACTGGTATGTGTTGTAATTAGAAATTTTTAACTACCTTTATCGGTTCCGTTATAGATAAAAAATTTAATTAACAGTATTTTCGAAACGCATCTTCCAATACTTGCGATTTTTGCGTATCAGCTCGAAGATTTTCTAAATTTTGAATATCTTGCGTAAGAATCGCGTGCGAACAGCGTCGAAAGTTATCGAATTCATCGTTGCGCAAATTTTACGCTGCAATTAGACGATGCTACATCTCTTCCTGCAACTCTTTCTAGGTGACAGTCGGCTCGAGGAATTCGAAACTTTATATTACGCTTACGTAACTATAGAAATGGTTACCGATCAAATGTAGCACAGCAACACCGTGCGACCCGTAATTTTCATTCTCGGATAATGAAATATAACGCGTAATTAATTTACAGCTCATTTCATACCGGCAGCCCTACTTTTCGTTGCCGGCTACGCCGGTTGCCAAGCATTGGGCGCAGCATGGTTAGGTATAGCCGCTCTACTCGTCTCTGGGACTGCACCTGCCGGCGCATTAGCTGCAATAGCCGATCTTGCACCCGTAGAATCTCCTGCCTGCGCTGCAGCGGCGTGTGCTTTGTGCTCTACTCTAGGGGCAGCGGGCTTGTTGGCTGCCAATTACTTCGTTACTCAAGCTCTTCACGGATCTGTAAGTTGGACTGCTAAAATCAGGCTGGAATGAGTTCCTTAAAACGTAAATAAAAGATCAAGAACAATTGATAGCTTTTCTTAACGTCTCGATGTAATTTCAGTATTTCATAAATACTGTAAAATTCCGATTACTCGATATACTCGGGGCTAGGACAATGCCAGAAAATCAAATGTGTTGGATTATTTGACTATACCTACATATGAAGTGACAAAAATGAGGAATGTATTCACAGACGAGATATACGATAAAATATATTTGTTTGGCCCATTTTCCTGGGGTTCTAGTGCCCCATTACAATTTTCGTGTCACTCGTAATATTACCAACAGATTACAGAAATGAAAAAAGAAAATGAGTCAGAGAATGAAATTACAGAAGCATTTCTGGCCACACATTATATTTTCGGTAAAGAATTTTTTTCTCAAAACTGCTTAGGATTTGGAGGGTATGTCTATTCATTAAAAATGATTGTAATTAACCCTTGTGACTGACAATAATTTTTTTAGATCGATTTGAAATTTTTCAATTTCGCTGAAAAATTTATCCACCTTCCTGAATTTTTTTCTCGAAAATGATTAGGAATTCGAGGATATGTCTATTCACTAAAAATGATTGTAATTGACCCCTGCAACCAAAAATAATTTTTCATTTAGGCACCTTACCCCTTTGTCGATTTTTCTTAAAAATTCGTTTTGATTTTTAATAAGCACAACTTTATTCGTCAACTGTTTAATATCGCCGTCACTGCTGGATGTATGTGATTGTGATTTCTTTGTTTGTGTGAAATATAATCGAAAACGTTTACCGAAGAATAGTTGGGGTAAATATGCCGCTTATTCGGACATTTCAGATAACCGGGTGCCAGATAATCGGAACTTTACTATATTCAATATAACAATATTAAAAATTATATCAGAAATCAAAAGCTTTTCTGTTCTCTTATTCAATATAATAAAAGCAGTATCTCTCTTAATATAAATTTTGTACGCTTCGATGAAAATTGCGTTACAACTCATTGATTCGTAAATTTTTCATGCAGATCGCGGGTTCATGGCGGTTGGTTTTCGGTGTCGCATCCGTCGTTTTATTAACGACCGCAGCTGTTTTCTTAGCGCTTGGAAAAGGTACCCCACAGCCGTGGATTCCATCCGTAGCTCGGCCACGAAGTCACGACGCAATTTACGAGCAGGACGCCCTGGAACTCGATTACGAGGACGTCGGCGTGCAAACAGAGCCTTTCAGTCCTTACCCGCTAGAAGACGACGTCGAGAGTGTGAAAAATGTTCCCCGTTCTGCCTCGGTCCATTCGAAAGTTTCGCTAGCGTCCAATTAAACTCGCGTTAATCGCTAACCATTTGTATATCAACAAAACAAACTGATAAAATGCGTACATATGCTCGTCGTCGCGATAACAAGAATTGAAAATTGTATATAGAATAAATCGTGGACGAGATCGTATATTATATAAGTAAGCTTGGACTTATTCGCAGATATGTGCGCTTCCTGGCAAGTGTCATTAGCGTTTGTAATAATGTATGTAAAAATAAATGCGGTAGTAAGAATAAAGGTAAAAGTAACTTATTGGTAAAAGTAATTTTTCATTTATAAATACGCTGCTGGATAAATTTATTGCGTTGCTTGAATTCGTACAAAATTGTGGCAATTGTAACTGAATTAAAATTTGAACCTTCCATTTGTCTCCTTTATAATTCCAGAGAGAATTGGTAAAATAATACACAATTCTGTTATATTTTTCATAGTAGTTTTTCTTTACACACACGTGTATCGCTGAAGTTAAATGTACCCACAATAATTAGCGTTAATATCTTATTGCACGATCGGTATCCGAACTCGAGGGCTTATCAAGATCGTCTCTAGTACCTGCGAATTCTCCTTTCTTCTTCTGCGTTTCGTGTTTAATCGCAGATTGCGTGGAATTCTGTAGCATGCGAGACAATGAACCGGCGCTTTTTACGACGGCTTTCCATCACCGACGAGGAAAGTTGACGAAATATAACGACCTCCCTAATTAGGTACCTCGAAGAAGGTACTACGTCGTCCGGGCCAAAACCTACGCACGCCATTGACACGTTCACAGATACACCGGAAGTCGTAGCTTGCAAAACACAAGAACGCCGCCTGGTTGGCAAATTCTTCTGTCTCTTAACGACAGCCATTCACATGGCATATCCGGCTCGCAGAGAAAAGTCGAAAGGTTACTCGCGGTTGCAAGAAAATATTTATTGAAACCGAACTATTCCATTCTATTTTATGTTAAACGATTATTGCAATCGACCATTGCACAAAATCGTGTTTACAGGGTTTATACTCTGGACAGAAATTATTCCAGCACCCGACAGAAAAAAGAAAAGTTATCGAAAGTAAAGTTTTCGTGATTTCATAAATATCTCTTCGATAAAGAAAGTCCTGCTCACTGGTACTCAAGTTCGAACCAATATTTATAGATGTATCGAACGTATGTTCTTTGTGGATAGCATTATTGCGAATTAAAGGTTAACGACAGTGTATACTTGCGAATCGAAAGTTTAATAGTACCCTCTTCCACTGCACAAAGTGTTTGTGCAGAATGACAGTTTAGTTTTTCCTTTAATATAGAATATTAGACACGTTTACAAATTCAAATTCCAAGACTTCGTTACAAATTAGCAAATGTCCCCAATAGAGAATCACTTATTATTCTTAAAATAAAATTTTCCCCTCTGTCTATGGATGGCAGTAGTGGATTTAGAAGTGCTCAAAGAACATGTGGAGGCTACCAAAAAATCGTGAATAGAATTTGAGAAGCCCACTTCTAGAAAAAAAATGCAGATGGTTTTTTTTAGTCAGTGAAGGGAGGTTTGTGCTGTTGTAGCCACCACCGATGGACGACACTGTACGTACGTTTCCCAGTTACGTCCATTTCTCCTCAAACGGAGATGGTCTGGTTAGCTTCCATTCGGTCGGCTTTCTCACACAGTGGTACACCAAGACTTTCCCCGAACGCAGAGTGTCTCCATCCGGGGATTTGGCAACGGGTAAGCGAGTTCTGAATAGGTGGAAGTGTGGAAGCCACGTGCAAAGTCCCATGATCTCCGCCCTCGTCGTACAGGCATACGCTAGCACCTAACAAATACAAGTTCGCGTACCCGACGGCTAAGTGTCGCAACCAGCGATGCTAATTACCAACGGTAGACACGTTATTATTCTTTCCTGGTGCACCGGCTCTCAGAGGCTTGCGAAATAAATTCTCACACCGTGCTATCTACCATCCATCTCGTTTTATTTCGATACATATATTACACTAGTTTATATAAAGATATTATTTACAATGGAACAAACTCTAAAGAGCGACGTCGCCGTGGCCAGGCACGTATAACATCATCGCCCACGACAAATTCTGCAAAGTTCGGGTTTAACGTGCTATTAGAAGAATATTATTTTATATTTTCACACGCTATAATCCATATGGTAATTCACAGAACAATATTTCAATTGTAGTTTCATGGGATCTAAAGTTGTTTACCCCGTGAAGAATGAGAAAAATGTATCCTTTCAATTCGATAAAAGGAAATTGCATGCATACCGTGACTTTGCATTAATAATCAGCAAAGCGATCAGTACGTCACAGTAAATGTAAGACTGACAATGTTAGACGAGCGTAGCCACGTTTAAACTAAAGTTAAAGTACTTCAGTGCTCTATTGGTAACGCTAACGGTCATCTTTGGGATGTCTATGTTATAATCGAACGCGACACAGTGTGATGCGGTTATATGCATGATCAACGTAATCGTTACGTGCACGGTACTCGGCGTACATAAACGTTTATTTAATTGCTCTCGCGTTGAAACGATTTAAAGGCAACGACGATCTGTCTTGAAAGCAAAAAACGAGCGTTGCGAGATACTTGAAAGTTGTCGTGCGGAAAATCGTCGAACGAACACATAAGACATTTCCCTTTCCGAGAAGGCGATTCGTTTCGCTGACGATTCCAGCGTGTTCCGTGAAAACTGTGCCGCCGCGTCGTCGCGATTGTCTATCAGCGTTACATTTTCATTCTTCTCACGGTCTTTTGTACGGACGGTTCTCGTTACGAGGAAATGATGAGTTTTGAATTATACCACAACCGTCGTAATTAATACTGTCGCTTTTCATCTCTAAATTGGCCTCGCGGATTAATCATTTTTGGAAGTAACGTAAAGAGAATGGCGTGTCGTAGTAATTCGTGAGATAAAAAAAGAAAACGAAACACTGGACGTGAGAATAACTCCTCGGTATTTCTCATTCGAGTCAATATATTTTAAATATATATATCTCACGCTTTCTCGCGTCTAAAACTAATTTCTAACTGTTGTAGTCCCAACGACATTTGTGCAGACGAATAAATAAATCAGTAAGATATTATTCAATAAATAATACACTCTGAAATTATCTAAATTTCATGAACGTAAAATATTATTTTGTTCCTTGTTAGAAACTTTGCACAGTATGTCCGTTTAATTAAATTAAAATAAACATTTACTCCTTTAATTTCGTAAGTAGCTCTACATTGTATAAATACTTGTACCATTCGATTTCTTGCCAATTACTACAGCAAAAATACGATCTTTAATTTTCTATTATCGAGTAAAAAAATAAACTCTATCGATAAAAGCGAAACTTCAACAATCTCCAAATAAGCATCTGACCGTTACATCTTCTTCTTCATCGCGTCCTTCTCCTCTTCGTCGTCGTCGGTGATGATCTGCACGCTCCTGATGGGTCCAGTCTTTCTGTATCTGGAGGCAGGCGTTGTCGTGGACATGATCGGAGTGGAAACCACGGGAGGACGTTCCGCGTTGATGGCCAACTGCAGCATCCTCAGCAAAAGGGCCTCCCTGATCGGAGCTGGGAGAATCTCGTCCCCCTCGTCGCTGACCTCCTGCGTGTAAAACTTTTGCCTGTAAACTCTCTTGGCGAACCTTCCGTCGTTGTAATCGTCGAACTGTTGCTGTTGGTAGACAGGATTCAAGGCTCTGGCGTACATGGGACGCCTGACGGGCACTCGATCGCCATATTGGAGGGACAGCTGCTCGTCGAACGCTATATCTGGTCGCGGGGCGACCGCTTGGTAGCCTGGCTGGTAAGAAGGATACGGTTGCTGGTCGTACAAAGCATCCTCCAAGTATGTTTTCGGATAAGAGAGAGCCTGGACACCGTACTGACTGACGAGCAGTCTTCTAAGCAGCATCTGGAAGTCTCGTCGACTGAGAGGAGGAGCGATGGGATTGGGTGGTTCCGGAGGCAAGGCGATCGTGCTGGACCTGTAAGGGTACTCCGAGGTCGTTGGATACTCTCTGTCGTCCACCGCGTGATTCACCGGTTGGGGAACTGGTCTCAGAACTGGTCTGGGTCTTGGTTCGGGTTCCTGATAGATCACTGGCCTTGGAAACGGCCTTGGGCGCATGTATCCAGGCGTCACCCCGATCCTTGGGTCCTCCTCTTGTCCAGGGAGAGGATTCTCCGTTAGATAATGAATATTCGCGTCGGTGGTCGTCGAGTATAGCGGTTGCTGGCCTGGTAATGGACGCAGTAAGATTCTGTTGAGTGGAATTTGTCTGTAGGCAGGGTCCTCGTCGATGTTACTCTGTTGAGACGGAAGCAAAATCCTTCCACCCGGTAATTCTCGCAGAAACTGGTCCGGTTGCTGTCTGACGAAGATGGGCTCGGTGCTTTGTCTCACGTACTCTCTGTTCTCAGGCATTCGAGAGGGAACACGAGTCTCTTCGCGCGATGCTTTCGTCTCTGCTTCGTAAACTCTAGGACCGTCGTACTTAACGTTCTCGAACCTGGCTGGTCCAAGGTTTTCTCGATTCAGGTAAATTTTCGGTCTATCGACCCGGTTGCCAGAAACGCGTTGGAGAACTCTAGGCGGTGTAGTTGTCGTGAACAACGGGCGGGTCGTGGACAAGGATCCTCCGTAAACGTCAGAATGGTCGTCGTTACTGGTCTCCACGATCGGGTTGGGCTTGGTGGTCTCATCGTGGAGTTGTCTTCTCAAAGTGTTTCCAGTCGTCACCTTAGCCTCGTCATCCTTTTCCACGAAATCCTCGGAGATCGGTCGGAGGGTTTGGTCGACCGGTCGTTTAGCAAAGATGATACGTCTGTAAGTAGACGTCTTGTCCTCCGTGCTTGGCCGATTTATCTGTGAATCTTCATCTTCGGCGCTTTCTTCCTCTATCACCATCGGTCTCTGTTGGCCGTTGATCACGAACCGCGGTCTACTTTTACCGGTTCCCTTCAAGTAATGACCGAATATCGATTTCGGTTGTTCCGTGGTGGTCGTAGTGGTGGTCGTCGAAGTGGTCGTTGTCTTTCTGTTTCGCGGTATCGACTGAACCACCGACGATTTCGTGGACGCCTCTGTGGACGAGGGATAAACGATGCTCGGCTTCTTGGTCGTGGTGGTACGATTAACACGCGGAATGCTCTGCACGACGGATACTTGTTCCTGCAATGGCGACACGGTGGTTGCTTTAAACCCTGTCCCGTTAGAGGAAGAGTACGACACCCTTTTTATTTCGCCGTCGGCGTCGACGAAACCGAACGTACCCTTGATGTTGCCTAGAACGTCGCGACTCTCGACCTGATAATCATTTCTTACGTTCAGGAGTATTATAGTTTTAGTAAATCAATTTTTTGTTTAATGTAAGAAACTGTTTGGTCCGTATTGTTGGACTTTTCAAAGAAAATTTCACTGAATTTCGTTGTATTTAATTACTGGACAAAATTTTATCATCGAATTTAAATTTTCAGACACGGATTTCTTCAAATATTCTCAAGTTCTCAGGCACGTTAATTTAGCTTCTTTTGTATAAATACTGGAATTGTCCATAAGTTTCTTCGTATTTTCTAGTGTTACTTTGTGGGATCTTTTTATGTAACTAAATTAATTTTATTTACATAGATGCTGGTTAGAATAAAATATGGAAAAATTGACTTGAACTGAGTACTGAAAAAGTATTTTAATTCAAATAGTGAAAGAAAGAAAGCAAAATAAAAATATACATAAAAAGAAATAGCTCTACAATTATATCGTTGTGACGTGTAGAAGAACGAAGAAAATTATGGACTGCCCTAGTATGTCAGTCTAAACTTTGCACGATTGCATGACGTTGCAAAATTAACTTGTCCAGTTATTCAAAGAAGCTGTTCTGTATTACTGAACTATAAAACGTAATGCGACGATCTGTTTGCTCGAGTAATTAAATTTCTCAATGAAGCGTTCAGGTTATATTTAGAATGTGTTACGTATAACGGTGTTCATACAAGTACCAAGAAACAGAGTACACCCATTTCATGCCTTGTGCATTAATGGTCATTGAGGCTTACCTTGAACGATCCATCGCCAGCTTCATAGCCGTACGTGTAAGAACCGTCTTCATTCACTTTTCTGATCTGTTTCAAGATCGCTACCTGCTGATCGTGATGTGTCTCAGATGTTTGCTGATCCGTAACGTTTGAGCAACCCGCTGTTGCCAGACAGAAAATTGCCATCAGCCATGTCGTCATTTTAAAAGTAGGAGGCGATAATATCTAGAGGCAAATAACAGAAAATCTGAGTAAACAAATTGTCCAATTTGTCGCTAATTACACGCCGTTTCATGACGATTACTCGGACCTATCGAAAGCTAAACTCGAAATATAATTTCTTGGAAAACGTGTTTCACTCAAAGATCGAATCGAAAAATAAATTTTGAATCATGAACTGGATACGAAAAAGGGAGGGCTACAGGGAAACTATTATCCTCTATTTCTATTCCTAATCTCTGTACGATTTTTGAATCCTTAAAATCTCAAATTTGTTGTTAGCCCCCTCCTTTGAGATCTTCCAGATCCGCCATTGTTTGGTCACAAGAATAAACGTCACAACGGAATCAGAAAATCATAAAATGACGAACTGAAGAAATTCGAACACTTTGAGACACTTTTCACCAAGCAGAAGAGTCTTAGCAATGGTGGCAAATTTTGTAATACATTTTTGGGAACATCGACACTTGTGATCGGTTAAAAATTGTGCACTGTACGCGCACCAGCGATGCACTGCAACGTTCACAATCACCAGGAACGCACTCGTGAACCGATCCTCCGAGGACGACTTTCTAATTGGACGTTATTAATTTAAAACCGGCCTTCGTAATTATATATTCCTAATTATTTTCGATTGTTTCGGCACAGGCGTACACGTTGCCACACTTGTCGGTGAGCTGTTACAGAGTTGCGTGGAGTAAGTACCTTGTGACTGGAAACCATGTTACCGCGGATGCGGTGAACGTTCTTAATATCGCGTGGGGTGCTGACGTCCGTTATATATAGAGTGACACGGTAGACAACCACCACCCTTTCCAGCGCCTTCTGCTACACACTCCAACGGCACGTTCAACCTTGATGACCCTTAAACGCCCATTACGGAATGGCATAATGCTGAATAATAGACGGTAATAAAGTATACCTGCCTCTGGAATTGGAAATCGCGCGGCGCTCTTAATGTTTCTCCAACTAATTCCTATTTCATTTCTATGTAACCTGTTCCACTAGAGCGATTCAAAATTTTTTTCGTTTTTATTATCCAAGATTCTAACAATAGCAAATAAAGATTACTGTCCCATTTATAAATTATTATATTATAATATTTTTTGTTCTTCATTTATTTTTTTATTTTTTTATTTACTCTACAACAATTGAGTCCGCCCCCTCAGGTTTTACTAACTGTATCCTCCTTGCAATAATGGCGTAAAAGTATTTTCATATTCAATTTATCGTATCAGAAGAAATTTGTACAATTTGGTAAAATATTTTAAAGAGTATAATTTTTTAAAGCACGAAACGTAATGATTATAAATTTTAATTTACACTTCAAGTTCCCACAGTAAGTACTCGTTCGCTTTGCTGTAGTTTCCTTAACGCATTTTGTACAACCTTTTCGCCCATAGTAATTATTGGCTTAATTTCTCTTCTTCATAAAACATCGTACAATGCCTTCTTCACTACGTGCCAACAAATTACGAATAATGCTTCATAAACGTCACACTAACAATAGGTTATAAACTTTTCATGTGTGATTATGGGTATCGTAACGTAACTCCGTCTAAATGTGTCGTTGACCTAGCTTCGAAAGATACATTATTACCTAACCATGCAGAATATAATCATCACCTTAGTCAAAGATATTACTAGATTTCTTCCTCTACTTATTTTGTAGTTTTTACAATTTTTTACCTCCTAACTGTTACACTATAGTCGATCACGTGACCTATATTGCCACAACTTCAAACATAAAGAATTATTTGTAGATTAGATCTTGAACCACAGATCAGAAGTTAATTTTTATTTTAATAAACTCTATTAGAACTTTTTACATTCACTATATTTTTATACATCGTTTGTCACGTTTTATAATTTTGCTTACAACTTAAGTTTCTATCCGAAGACCACGTATAAACTCGAGTACAAGTGAAATTATCCCCTTTAATTCGAATTAATTTAAAAAAATAATAATTCCTGTTACACAAGAATTTCGTATTATCTGTGTTCGAAGTTCCTACACTCAGAAACGTTCGTTTGTCCGTTCTCCTCGGAATTTATGACGTGAGAACATTTTCAAAACGAATTTCGTAATTGTTTCGGTTCCCCGCTTCCCTGCGTTGTTCGTCCACGAAGAATGGAACAGAAAACGCGTCGATCACGATGAAAGTGCGCGCAAAACGTGGACGAGAAAGAGCGGAAGTTTACCCGGAGATAAAGAGGAAGCAACGACGACGGAATAGAACGCGAAAAAGTTTTGGACTCGCGGAGACACAAGTGAAAGCCACGTGGGAGTTCGCGGCCAGGCAAGAACAGTAGTAGACTGTAAAATCTGTAACAATAGTTCCCATAGTGTGCAACATTCGTATTGTGGTGTTCGTTCCATTCTAGACACTCCCACAGGACAATTATTACATCATGCAATTTCCTCGGGGTTTCGTACACAGTTTTTTGATGCCACCTTGATATGCCGTGTCTTGGACCTATCGGTCGCATATCTCTCTGGCTCGGTTCTTGCGTTTCTCGCGAATGATCGTTGTGCCGCATTTTCCCTTTGTAGTTCCGACTCGTTATTTATAATTTTGTGGCTGACGCGTTGCTCAATGGTCGTTAATGCCTGATCTGATATTCGAGCGATTCGATACCGAAGCATTAGATCGTCCCATAAATCGCTTTTCACATTTATTTTAGTTGTGAAACTTTGGTAGATTGTTAAAAATATCAACAAATCAATCTTGTCCTTCGAATTATTCTTATAATCGGAAAGGAGGAGATAAAAATTCTTAATCATTAAATCTGCCTTGGTACTCTATGTATTTTATTGAAATATCTTAATTCGATCCTCAAGAATTCTGTGTGTGAATAAATGAAATTATTACACAGATGTACTTACGTATATCGAAAATTTGTACTATATTATGCCCCAGCCTTAGTGAGGCGTGGAAATACTTCGATCACTGTTCACTCTCAGGTAATGATCTAGCGCTTATTGCGTAATTTAATTGATTAGCATAATTGCGGTATGTATGCCTTGAGTGTTAGGAGTATAGAGACCGTTACAATATTGGTATATTTAGAGACGTATGTGTACATTGTCGTTCAAAAGTTTGAGGCACTTTTCGATCCTTGACAAAATAAAATTTGTACACATATTCCATCGAAAATTTTACTTATTAGAATCACACTATTTAGGTACGATTTAAGACAAAAATTGCATAACATGAGAAATTTAATTCTTTGTTTGAAAGATCGAAAGATACTCGAAAGTTCTAAGCTGCTGTATGTATGCGAAAACACGATCTGACTTTCCGGAAGAAGTTAGCGAGTACGGTGTTAATTACAATGCGACTATATACTGCACATTACCACGGGTAGGTTCAGTCGGCACGCCTACATCATTACCTGCGAACCGTCTGACATTCTTCCGCTGAGAACCAAACAATTGTATTCCGTTTTCGGCGTTCCGCAATACCGAAAAGCACTTTAAATTCCGCGGCACCGCGGTGCTCTCAGGTGCTAAATATACAGAACCGAATCGACTAGGAAATTGCGAAACATTATTAACTCGTCGACTGCCAGACCAAACCCGTGACATTTGCCACCAGGTCAAACTTTTATTTTTTAATAATTGAAAACTCTTAAAAATTCACCAATCCTGTCCAGATTTATTTTCTTTAATATCTTATGTTGGGAATTAAGTTTTCATAGTGCAAATAAACAATATGTGTTGAATTGTACATGGGATAGGATAACATATAATCTGAATGAGCAGTAGAAAAGCATTATTTTAACATAAAGATACTATTTTGGATCCTTATTAAAATTCTCTTATTAAAGTACTTCTTAAAAAAATAATATAGATATTTAAATCTCGTTGAATATTTAAAAGTTAAAAATAAAGATATAAAAATCTCAGAATATTCTTCATAAGTAAATAAGTAGCGAGCAAAAATGCAAATTGAATTAATATTTGTTTAGGAACGAGCAAGTTCACACAGTGGAATTTACAATTGATCTTGAAACTGTAAAACAAGCATTCCTTGGACAGAGTTCTGTTGAAGAAATAAAGTGGTTAATACTCTGCAACGTGTTTCCCACGCTAGATACATATTTTATCATTCGCAATGAAATATCGAGCAATTAATGACTCATTGATGACACATAACGCCTTGAACGTACTATCATCTCGACGTCATTGAACGAATGCGAGCGGTTAGTAGGACACCATGGGTTTTATATTGATTTACAAAAGTTCAGAAGAATAACCGGCACATTATAAAAAAGTCGAAAGAAATACTAATAAAATAAAGATAAAAAATCAATAGAAAAGAAATAAATAAAAATTACTGAAACGTCTCTGGCTAACTTCGTTCCTTTTTAAATAAATTAGTTAGAAAGACTATAATCATTATAAAAGAAAATAACATAATATTTATATTAGAAATACCTAGGCTTCTATTATAAATAAATAAAATTTAACACACTTCGACGATTATATCATTTCTAAATATTGTATGGTATAAATGTAAATTTTCTGCGGTGTATGCAAATTTTTATAGAGTAAATATTACCTAATAGTTTCCTGAGTATTAGCAAAACGTTTTATTTTAAACGTATGTACAATTATATCTCTATTACGAGACTTAACACGTGGAACGAAAGCCGGTAATCTTCTAAATCGGTACAATGACATGTTAATTGTCTTCCACGCATACTAAATCTTTTGCGTATACCACTAATGACTCGTCGAACGTGTAATCAATCTGATTGGCGGAAACGTCAACACCAATGGAGTCAGCAGTGTTGAATTATGTCAATTCGTTCTGTACAGTCTTCGCCAGACAATCAAGGAGGAAATGAACATCGTTTCATTATATTGCTTAAATGAAACGAAGGATGCCGCACGCAACGGTGCGACTTTTTACGATTTCATCCTTTATCTTGTAATTAAGATCAATAGAGGGCTATTGCTTAAGGTTTTGTAATCGAGAATGCTGAAAAGATTATTCCCAGAGTGAGGTATAATGTACATTTCCTGAGTATTTCAAATTTAATATTGAACGAATAATAATAGCAGTTGGAGAATTAAATTTTTGCAGAGAATGTAATTACTTTATTTTTCGAACTAGATCGATTGAAATATATTAATTCTAACCATAGAAACATATAATATGTAAATATTAACTTTCAATCGAAATTTCAATCAGTTTTTCATATAAATGTTCCTTTTATGCATAGTATATTTTCTAAAGTTATTTGTTTTAATATTCATTGGATTAACCTAGAAATCTTTCTTGATTCTGTGTCGATAACATTGGGGTTGACGCACTGATGGTAAGAAACCTGCAGTTCAGGCACAGACGACGTATGCAGTAGACGTCACAAGCAATATTTTTTCGTAACACACAGATCAAGAGCACAGACAATGCATAGTATAGGCGCGTAAAGCAATAGTATTTCGTGAGCCCAGCTCCAAGGTGAAGTCGAGAGGCCGGCGGTCGAGAATATAAACAGAGACTGACCGAGTTTACAAAAGACAAGTGTATCGGGTTACTGTCCCTGGCTTGGGAATGCTAGCAATGGTAAGACTAAAATTACTTTTTAAAAAATATTTTAGAATACGCAAGAAATAGATACAGACGAGTAATAGGTTAGAACAGTCATTTAGTGGGAGTCAGTGTCCTACGACGTAAAGTAGAAACATCGTAAAAACTAATATTTTTGTATAT